TATGGAATTTTCTTTACAATTTTGTTATTTTAGTTTCAATATGTGAAGCTAAATTTTTTGTTTTAAGGATTTATATAGTGATTGAACTTTATGGATTGGTTCATTTATTCTCTTGATTGAATGATCTAAATGTTTTATTTATGTTTCTCTATGGTTAATGTCTTTAATCTACTAGTCATAGATTCATTGATTGTAGACTTAAAATTTTATGCTCGGGAGGGATAGTTTACCGTTAGAACAGGTATGCATAACTAAAGGAATTTTAAGATCATAGAGGTAGTTTATAAATCCTTATTCATTAAAACACTTACTTGTTATTGAAACTTGATATGGATATTGGTTTCTTAATTAATAAGGAAAATTAGCTTGGGTTCGGAAGGCAGTTAAGATTTGAGAACGATTGACCTAGGTGATTCAAATCTTAATTAATTAACTAATTAGTTCATAGATATTCAATAATTGAAATCAACTTCCGAACTTTCAACCAATTTATTTTCTATTGTATATTTATTTGTTTTAATTTTTTCCTTCATTCGGATTCGATTCTCTAAATAAAATTGAGTAATTGTATCTATGGTACTCAAGTTAGAAGTTCAATCTAAAGAACGACGTCAGTGATCACTTACCATCTAACTTGTAGGTACACTTGCAACTAGCAATTTCTACGACATTGATAATGTACTTGAGTTGGCTCTGGGGGTTTGTTGTATGGTACAGCGGGGTTTTATGAATATGATCATTGTTCTTGTATCGCCTTGTTTTTGTTGATGCATCCAAACATGTCCTTTGTGCACAGGAAGTTAATATGTGGGCAGGGTTTGTAATAATAGTTTTAATTTCAGTCGGGAAATTTATGTTTGTATTGACATTTTTTTTATACACATCTACCTGTGTAATTTTTAAATAATTTTATGTCTTTTTTAAATGATATTAGTGAGTACACGTGCTATGTAGGTGAAATTTATCATTTTAATACTATTATTTTAAGAGCTGTTTTGTCATCCAAATATATATTTATCTTTCTCAATTCGTCTAGTTTTATATGTCTTTCTAAACAGTATTCCTCAATGTTTACAAATTTTTCTCTCTCAATTCACCCACCCTTCTATTTTCAAATGAAATTAAATAAATGATAATTTGTGTAAGGAATTTGAATTAGAGTTCAAGGTTCAGGGACTGAGTTAGAGAAAAAAAATAGTCTTAAAAGTGAATAAGAATGAAAAATTATGAAAGGATCCGGAGATAAATAAAGTTTTGGGAGAAAATTATTTGAGAAAAGTGTAATTTAAAATGTGGAGAGAGAATATTTAGAAATTAAGAGTAGTGGGATGGAGAAGGTGAGGGAGAATGGGTGGAATTTGAGAAAATTCAGAGGGAGATAGAGTGACCCGGAGAGAAGGAGAGAGAGAGACTGGTGAGTGACCTGGAGAGGAGGAGAGAGAGAATTGGTGGATTTAAAAGGATTTGGAGAGAGATGAGGAGCTTAAAGTAATAGAGAAAAATGTTAAAATTAAAGAAAATATTTTTGGTGCATGAGGTTTGAGGTAGTTGTTTATTGAGTTCGTGAAGTTTTAAAATGAACACTTTTGGTCCTGAGGTTTGAGGTAGATGTTTAATTGGTACTTGAAGTTTCAAAATGAACACTTTTAGTTATTGAGGTTTAAAGTAGGTGTCAACTTGGTCCTTGAAATTTTAAAATAAAAACTTTTGGTCTTTGAAGTTTGAGAAATAGTTCTAAATGGTTTTTTTTACTGTTAATTAACTAATATTATAACGACGTGGTAAATTGCAATTAGATTGTTTATTGTAGTTGCTGATGTGACAAATTATATTAATTAAATGATATATGTTCTGTATGAATGGCGGACGGCGACCGCAATGGCAAAGACGTAGTGGTCGTCGGAAAAGGGTAAGAGATAGAGAGACGAAAAAATGAGGAAATGAAGGAGAAAGCACCATCACCTACACATATATTATTTAATTAATATAATTTGTCACATTAGCAACTATAATAAATAATTTATTTGTACGGGAGTCGCCAAGGCTTTGGATTGTGTTATAAATTGGGCTTCTGGAAGGTATACTGGCTCAATGTATAAAGCCCACGGTCCATATCTCAAATTTACACTCCCACTAAATTAAATAAATAAGACGATTTATATTTTATGGATATTACATTTAGCTGCCATTGTTAGATTTATTTTAACCAAATATTCGAAATGATTTTCAATGCAATATATATGGTGTGAGTGTCGAGTCAAATCAACTCTGTTTTTTTCCATTGTAGAAAATTCTGGTCAGCTCATCTGTCTTGGATCCAGAGGATTGGTTGTTGTGTGTCACCTCTTCCAACCTATCTTATACATTCCACATCAGAAAAAACAAATGGGAAAAGACAAAAGCTTCCCTTGAACTTTATTTTAAAAAATAAAGTACCAAAACCATTTAGTAACCTTCAACATTATAATACTTTAAGAGTAACTAGAAAATTATATTCGCTATACACCAAAAAAATATTATAGTACGCACTATTGTTTTGGGTACAAGGATTTCAATAGGGTTATATAGAAAAAGGAAAATTAAAATGGAATACATTACTATTAGTCTATTACCACGTTTAATTATATATATATATCATTAGCACACACGTGACACGCTGATGCGGTTTTGGCTTGGCCCACGTGAATTATTTTTAACTTAAAACTTGATTACACACATACATATGTATTTAGTTGGCGGGCAAGTTCCATGATTGTTCTTGGAAAATTGATAGTTTGGTAGAATGGAAAACAATTAATGGGAACAGGGCATGCAGTGCGTTAGATAGTGGGAAAGAAAATTAAACCAAAGACCATTCTCCTCTAATAATAAACTAAAAAAATGGTATGGTCATGGTGTAGTCAGAAAAATGGAATTTAGTGCCACTTTCCAACGTGACGCCTTCAAATTCTACACTAAAAACCAAAATTAAAAATAACAAATTGACCGTTACTTCCTAAACAATATCACATTTCTCTTGATTCGTGTAACTAGATAAAAAGTCCACCCACATGCACAGAGACACGAATAAGTAAGAAGGAGTTGAACGAAACTTGCAGTTCCAGGAAGATGGAATTGAAAGTGATTGGAAGTTTCCGGGAAACTGGCGCCGGGTCTTGTTTTCCGGGAAAGTTAAGTGGGCCGGGAAAAAAAGGCCCAAAAGCAAACAATTCAAAAGGACGCGTATAAAATTCCTAGAGAAAAGTGGGAATGGGATTGGGATTGGATTGAGTTCACGTGGGAATCCCACTCTTGGTCTCCATAAAGCACCAGCATCTCACGTGACTTTAAAATATAAATATATTTATATTTTATTTTTCTCCTTTTCTTTATCCCATGTTGCATTATTATCTTTGCTTTACAAGTCAATTTATCTATTCATTACTTACTTTACACGCCTCTCTCTCTCTCTTAATCATCACATCAAATCTTCATATCTACTAATTAGCCACCCCCCTTGACTACATACACTACCCTTTTTCCGTCCAATTCTTTTAATGCCAATTCCATGCTTCACTTATTTTCTCCAATAAAATATCAATATGAAATCAATCCAGTATAATTTAACTGTAAACAAAAATATTAACATGATTAGATTCTGATCGAGTCTCATAATCCATGGAACCTACCCTATTAATTATGAGTCTAAAATCTTGCACAATAATTTGAACAGATGGATTTAAGGCAATCTATATTGCTTTTAGTGTTGCCATTCATCATGACACTTTTTACTTTTGTAGAAAAATGAATAAATGAGTCAAAAGGGAAAAAGGAAAGGAAATCATGAAATTGGAGAAGGGGACTCGGAGAAGTAGAGAGAGAAGTCATCATATCACAAATATTTCTTCAATAATAATATTAATTTACTTTATATACAAACATATGAAATCAAATAAGGAGACATAGTAATTGGATTAGTAATTACTATATTTTTCTACAAATTAAACTAATTTAATCGGACTAAGTTTTTTTCGTTTTTCTTTTTTTTTTCTTTTTTTTTTTT